ATTTGAGGCAAAAAATTCTGGGAAGACTATTGTGAATAATTGAAGGGTTTAGAATCATAAGGGTCTAAGTGACACTTTCGAAAATATAAGTTATACCCATATTTGTATAGTTAAATATATGGGGTGTTCACAGTTCGTTCCAAATAGTGTCTCAAAATGTAGACGTCTACATTTTAAGACGTTTTCTAACCGTAAAATCTGTGGTGTTGTTGTTTCCCATACAAAATTGGAAAACGACGCCGTCTACATTTTGTCACACTCAAAGCTATTGGGGTGTTCACAGTTCGTTCCAAATAGTGTCTGAAAATGTTGTTGTCTACATTTTAAGACGTTTTCTAACCGTAAAATCTGTGGTGTTGTTGTTTCCCATACAAAATTGGAAAACGACGCCGTCTACATTTTGTCACACTCAAAGGTATGTTTTTTACGCGTCTACATTTTGCAACCTCGCAGCAGGGTTGCATTATGGCAATACTAATCACATTTTTTTTATTTATTGGGCACGTTTTTTGTATTTGCATTTAATTTGAGCGCGATTTCTGATGAAAAGAAACAAATCAAGGAAAAGAAATAACAAATATTAGGAATTGGTAATTAAGTTAAATAATTACAATTTTTCAGAAACAAAATCGAAAGGCGATATATAAAAAATGCACGCAAAGAGGAAATGTCTGGCAACACCAGCACAGTTTTGAGACGATTTTGCGACGACTGCTAGAAAGGGGTGCTCACAGTTTGATGCTAAAGATGTCTCAAAATGTAGACGTCTACATTTTCAGACATAATTTGGAACGAACTGTGAACACCCCATATGTTTTTTACGCGTCTACATTTTGCAACCTCGTAGCAGGGTTGCATTATGGCAATACTAATCACATTTTTTTTATTTATTGGGCACGTTTTCTGTATTTGCATTTAATTTGAGCGCAATTTCTGATGAAAATAAACAAATCAAGGAAAAGAAATAACAAATATTACGAATTGGTAATTAAGTTAAATAATTACAATTTTTCAGAAACAAAATCGAAAGGCGACATATAAAAAATGCACGCAAGGAAGAAATGTCTGGCAACACCAGCACAGTTTTGAGACGATTTTGCGACGACTACTAGAAAGGGGTGCTCACAGTTTGATGCTAAAGATGTCTCAAAATGTAGACGTCTACTTTTTCAGACTAAGGCCCTTATTATGAGCTGCATTCGATTTTCGATCTTCGCTGGCTACCGAAGATCGAAGATCGAAAGTGAAATTCGTATTATGAGCTATGCAAGCGTGTCGAAATTTTCGTTGAGTATCGAATTTTCTCTCGAATAGAATTTTGCTTTCGATGGTGTAGCGAAGTGTTAGAAAATTGTGAAAAATGTATGATTTTGTATATGTTTTCTTACATTTTGGC